TTGGTATATAAAGCGCATCTGATTATCCTATTGGAAACGAGAGATAAAAACATGCATCAAACAACACATGCCAAAACATATGTGCAATGTAGTCAAGCTTTTCTTCAACATTTTTTACTCTTTCGCCATATCATAATATCATTCGGATGCTTGAATTACCAATGCAGCAATATACTGCAGATATAGATAGCTCTGTACAGTTGGGCATTTTCTTATGGAAAGTGTGGGGGAAAATGCGAAAGCATACATTTTCATGTGGGTGGTAAAAATTGCCTAGTTTCAGTTAGGTTTTTTGGACTGGAAATGCATCTTCAGAAAATGGTCATTATTGGGGTAACTTTTGATGCTCTATCGATTGGCATCATTATTTTTTTCATCCTGACCCTGCCCTTCCCCCTAATCATGAAAATGTATGATGCGAAAGCATAGATGATGACGTAAAAAAATTTAGGGGGGGGGGGGTTTGATGGCAAAATTCTGTAGGGGGTTCCTGGAAAAATCCATGGGGGGTCCCTGACGATGTCAACAATTTGTACGAAATGAGGATAAAATCGTTTTTTTTTTTGGATATCCCTTTTTAGGCGAAAATCCCTAGCAAATCGGAAGAATTTTCTCGGCCAAAAAAAGTGAAGAGCAAAAAAAAGTCCTCATTTCCAAAATTGTTGAGGGTTCTTTAAAATATTTTAAGGTGGGTCATTCGACCCCTAGGAACCCTCGTCATCACCTATGATATGAAAGGGTCAGAAAACACACGACAGATGATTCGAATTTTTTCGACTGTTAACATTCCAATAATTACACTTAAATTTATAAAATCACACTCATTTCAAAATCAATAGCATTAGTTAGTAGAAGTCTTATTAGACCCATCTGTGGATAGTTTTTCTCTGTGTGCTCAATGTGCCTTCAGCGTCAAAAACATGCACGATTGCATTATAAACAAGGAATGTGTGAAAATATATTTGATGCTTCCGGTGCATACATATTAAGTCAATTTTCTGCTGCATCGCAAAACCAAAAATCTCCCGTTTGCAAATGTGCTATGTGGCCTATAATGTTCACGAATATTGTGGTTGAGAGAAAAATTGTTAGCGTTGAATGCGCGTACGTAATGCTGCTGCTGTTTTCTGAAACTATCTACCTCTCTAGCCCATTTCGTCCGAAACTCTCATCATCTATGTATAGAAAGTCAGAGAGCGACGTACTTGAAAATCCGTTGAGTTGCAAACTCTGCACAAAAAAATTGTCTTGCTCTATTTTTTTTTTGGGTGGAACGATTGGCGAACGGACCGTTATGTTTTCTAATTCAAACTGTTTCACTTGTATTGCGCGCTCGATACACATACATAAACATTGTAACCATTTCACATTCAATTCAATGTAATGTGAACGTTGCAAGTTTACAGCATAAACACATCAGCACCTTCAGGATTATAAGTGCTATGGACCATTTGTGCTGAGCTTATAGTATGAAATACCGCTATTAAAAGTATAACACTTATAAATAAAACATACACAAATGCCGATTCCGTTTATGCTTTGGTTTTTGTTTTAGTTTGCAGTTATTTCGTTCTTCTCCTTCAACATCATCATCATCATCATCATCATATACTTTGTTGATTCTTTTTTTTATTGTCGGTTTATCATCTCCATTTGCGTTTTTCGTTGTATGAGAATGAAACAGGATTGAAAGTGTTTGAAAGCGAGAGTTAGAAATACCGAAATTCCAACTCTCCAATACCAAATTGAAACTGACAATTTGTTGCAAATATGAGAGCATGACTCTCTCTTTCTCTTAAAAATTCTTCAGTCGCTTATTAGTAGGGGAGAGGTCCGTAGGTTGAAACGGTCCGTAGGTTGAAACAGTCACATATTTTTAAATATGGCAACTGGTAGCACTGTGGTTTATACTTTCAAGTCGCTGTATTTTTAGCAGCTAACTTTTCATGGTAGACAGACTTACACACACGGAAATATTGTAAAAATTATTGGTAGAAATGATTTTTTTCTTAAATCTATACAAAAGTTTAGATATCTCAACAAAAATTTATTTTTTAATAAAAAAATATTTTCTCAATGTCAATAAATATTGCGATACATATTTATCAACGAGCGCCAAAATACATCATTTAATACACCCTTTTCTCTTCACACGAAAGAACAACAATAATTACATGGCTACACTCGAACGGCGACTATAGAGAATGCAACCACTACTTATGCAAACAACGTTGTCGTTTGTGTCTTACACGCTTCCACTGACTCGCCAGTTGAAGTGATGCGTGTGTAGTAGTTGACATCTATATAGTTGCCGTTCCAATGTAACAAGTCACGTTGTTTGCATAAGTAGTGGTCGCATCCTCTATAGTCGCCGTTCGAGTGTAGCCATGTAATTGTTGTTGTTCTTTCTTGTGAAGAGAAAAGGGTGTATTAAATGATGTATTTTGGCGCTCGTTGATAAATATGAATCGCAATATTTATTGACATTGAGAAAATATTTTTTTAATAAAAAATAAATTTTTGTTGAGATATCCAAACTTTTGTATAGATTTAAGAAAAAAAATCATTTCTACCAATAATCTATACATTATTTCCGTGTGTGTACTAACTCCCATTCCCTATGTTTAAGTTAGATCATACCAAAAAATTTGTTGAGCAAACTTATTTCGAGAATTTTCCTCAAGTGAAAAATGTCAATTTTCTTTAGTGCTAGAAAAATATGAATATGACATTTGCACCACAGTTTTTGGTCCATTTTAATATGCCGAAGGAATTTTGAACATATCTTTGCATCCACAAGAATTTTCATGTCAGGTAAAAATGGTGACAATGTACGTAGGTTGAAACACTCGAAGGTCCGTAGGTTGAAACACTATATAACGCTACGTGTTTTAAAAGGAAATGCAAACTTAATTTAAATAAATCAAATTGGACCCGTTCAGCCAGCTATGCCACAGAAAAAATCCAATCGCGGTCGTAAGCGTATGAAGAGCACAGTTCTCACATCAATAGAAAATATCGCAAAACTCAAGAAAAATCGGTAAAAGCGTGAAGATGCGAAAAAGAAAAAGAAAGAAAGCACACAGAAGCGAAAACTTTCATCTCAAAAAGAGCCAGCCAAAAAGCGAACACAGCCTACACGAGCAGCCGCCTCAAAGCATGAATCGTCATTGTCATCGGATGAAGATGTGGATTTCTGTATGATCTGCATGGAAAACCTGCCAGAAACAACTCAATCGAATGCAACAAGTGCCAGCATCCATTTCATTTAAAGTGCGTTAACATGAGCCGAAGCTAATTTCACGTACCAAAATTGCGACTCGGATGCCGATCTGTCTGACGAAAATCAATGAAATTTTGATTTTTTTATTCTCTTTTTCATGTTTGAGGCCTTTCTGATAAATAAATGAACAATAAACACTTGATAGCTAGTGTTTTTATTCCATTAATTACACCTTTTTCTCAATTGCAATGAGTGTTTCAACCTACGGACCAAATTTTTTTTTGGAAAAAAATCATGTGGTCGGAAAATTGGTCATAACTTTTTTGTTCTTAAAGTAATTCAATTAATTTCTTCGGCAAAAATGTAGCCAAGAACATTACCTTTTCAACAATATATGACTCTCCGTAATATTTTCTTTAAGTAATTTTTTTTGGCTAAAAATCAAAACCCGTTTCAACCTACGGACCTCTCCCCTACATATAAAAAGGCATCATTCAATCTCTCTGGAAACGGTAACAAGAGCTTGTGAACGTGTGCATTGTTTAGTAATATCACCTATGTGATATGGCTTCAACAACAACAAAAAATATACATATATATTTGCAGCGTTGCTACTTCAACACAGTACAGTGTGTGTACGCGCGCAATAAATATACAATTTAAATAGAATTTTTCAAATGAAATTGCATTATTCATGCGATCTTTTATGCTTTGTTGTCATTATGTCTTGCTTTTCGTCATTCAGTAGCACCGTTGCCGAACATCACCACCATCATCATCACCATCTCTTCTAACCATTCGACTTTCGGTCGTCATATCGTAGTCTGTAGTCATCGCAATTGCAATCGTATTTTCTCTATCGCTTTAGCATTTAAATCTTGTGTTTGCGGTTGCGTGCGTTTTTTTCTTCACTTTTCTCCTTCGTATTATATTTCATGTGTATTTTCCAAGTGAAAATTGTCTGCTGTCAGCGAAAGCAATTGATATGACTATAACGTTTATATGAAATTCATTCTAGCGAAATGTAAATGGTTTTGCATAGAATATACTGTATGAATTTTTGCCCCCGAAAAAGCGAAAAATGAATAAAGCAAATGGAAAACGACCAAAAAACGCCGAAAAATGAGGAGCGCGTGCTTTTGTTTTTGTCGAAATAGATATATATTGGTGAGAATGAAAATGACACAACGAATCATAAAAATGTCCAGAAGTGAGAGCAAGAGGTAAGCATCGATAAGTCATTTTCATTCTCAGCGACACATGAATAAAAACATGAATATTTGGCACATTTTGATCATTCTGTTTTGAAGCGCAGCAAATACTAGATAACATATCAAATCCATATATAGAATCTATATTATATACAATATATTGTATTTTAAATTCATTACCCCGAAACTTAAATCCGTTGTTTAGCACATAATCCTTGATATTTTTTTTTCTTCGTATTTATGTATGCGCGAGCTTTGAATTCAGCATACAAATAATTAATTTTGGCAATAAAACAACGCGTGAATTCAAATGTATTCTACATCAATTTAACAATAAAATGATGAAAGACAGACAGACATTTGCGTGTCGATTTCGATGAACAGAGCAGAAATGAAGAGCGTCTCGAATTGAATTTAAAAATGAAATGAATTTTATTATCGACTATGAATAAATGTTCAATGAAAATGACGGAAACTAGCAACGCTGTTTTTCTAATAGACACCCACACAGATTAAGAGATCAAATTAAGACGTATAAAATTTAATGGAAATTGAAATTGACCTACCTTAAAATCAATATAGCCATTTTTGTCCATATCAAATGTCCTGAATACATGGTCGCAAAATTCTTCCGCATTACCAGATGGGAAAAACATTTTGTACATATCGACGAATTTGGCTGGCGTTAAACGACCATTGGGACAATCTTGCTGCAAATGTTGAAATGGTGTGTCAGCACATGAAATGAGAAAGAAATGTAAGGAAAAAACTTTTAATTTATTTTCATTTTTTAAGAACACATAAAATACACATATAACAAATTAAATGCAAAAAAAAGAACTGAAATATAAATAATTACATAAACACACAAAATAGAAGTTTGTAATAATTACGGGTGTGTGTATGTGGTGGCATTTTCGTAGTGTAGCATGACGAAATCGATGTAAAATGTCGGGTATACGATTTATACAAATTAGAATGACAACGATTTATATTTCACATCGAATCTAATCCGGTTCAATTTGAACGATGTCAAACATAGCCGAACATAATGAATTTGTTTCATGTATGCGACCAATTCGAAAATGGGAAAATTCGAAAATACATTTATGTACGCCCATTCCACATGTTTCGTATGAAAATCTCATTCACTCACATATACCCTCATTATTGTACATACCATAGTATATAGATGCGATCTGCGTGCATTTCACCGGAAATGCATGCAATTTAAAAATGAGTATTAGCATGTAATTAACTGGATCGACAAGTGAATGCTATATTCAGATTGTATATAGAACATAGAATGGACACAGAAACATTGCTGTTGATCGCTTTTATGTGAAAATGCATTCATGTATTTGTAAAATCAATGATAGATTTATTTTGACCAACACAAACTTAATCGAAACATTTTATGAATAAATTAAAACACAGAACATTTAGCTTCGTTTGATAATTTGATGATGAAAGTGAAAAAAAAACAACAACGATTGAATGTGTTTTTATGAAGCATTTTGCTTCATTTAATTTTGGTCTTGAAATAAATTAATAAGAGTCAACAAAATTGAGATTCATATTGGTGCCATGGCTGCCTATGTTACTATGTAAACATTTTGATCCATAATGTAGATTTACAGTATCTGAATCTCAATAGAAATTTTCAATATAGTTGTCACAATCTAAAAAAAATGTATATCAATTAAGCGTTTAAAATTGTTCATTAATTAAATGCTTAGCCACCCCAAAAAAAATACCCACGCCATAGTGTTCATATGTATCGAGCGAGAAAAGTGAATAAAGGAATGCGCATTAGGGTGGAACATTTCTTTGAATTTCGAGGCATATCTTGATGGCCACTTGAGAAAACATGTCTTATAGTCCCGTCTTATAGTCCCCAGACTCAAGATATGAAGGAATTTTCAACTTGCGGTTCCATATAAGACAGCGACTTGAAAGGAAAGGAGGTACATTTTACTAGAAAATCATAAAAATTGCAGTGACCCAATCACCATGAAAACTTGTGAATCTTATTTTCTGAC